ATTTGCGTTGAATTTGCGTTCGTTTTGAGTCGATTTTGATTTTTTATTAAAAGTCGGTAAAACATTAATATATTGGATTTTTTTAAGTTATTTTTGGTTTTAAATTAATTGCTTGAATCAAACACATATAAAAATAAATTATTAAACGTGATAATAAATGAATTTTTATAAAAATTCAGTCTTCAACTTTTGCGTTGGATTTGCGTTGAATTTGCGTTCGTTTTGAGTCGATTTTGATTTTTTATTAAAAGTCGGTAAAACAATAATATATTAGTTTTTTTAAGTTATTTTTGGTTTTAAATTAATTGCTTGAATCATAAACATATAAAAATAAATTATTAAACGTGATAATATATTAATTTTTATAAAAATTCAGTCTCCAACATTTGCGTTGGATTAGCGTTGAATTTGCGTTCGTTTTGAATCGATTTTGATTTTTTATTAAAAGTCGGTAAAACAATAATATATTAGATTTTTTAAGTTATTTTTGGTTTTAAATTAATTGCTTGAATCAAACCCATACAAAAATAAATTATTAAACGTGATAATAAATGAATTTTTATAAAAATTCAGTCTTAAACTTTTGCGTTGGATTTGCGTTGAATTTGCGTTCGTTTTGAGTCGATTTTGATTTTTTATTAAAAGTCGGTAAAACAATAAAATATTAGATTTTTTAAGTTATTTTTGGTTTTAAATTAATTGCTTGAATCAAACCCATATAAAAATAAATTATTAAACCTGATAATATATTAATTTTTATAAAAATTCAGTCTTCAACATTTGCGTTGGATTAGCGTTGAATTTGCGTTCGTTTTGAGTCGATTTTGATTTTTTATTAAATGTCGGTAAAACAATAATGAATTAGATTTTTTAGTTATCTTTGGTTTTAAATTAATTGCTTGAATCAAACACATATAAAAATTAATTATTAAACGTGATAATAAATGAATTTTTATAAAAATTCAGTCTTCAACTTTTGCGTTGGATTTGCGTTGAATTTGCGTTCGTTTTGAGTCGATTTTGATTTTTTATTAAAAGTCGGTAAAACAATAATATGTTAGATTTTTTTAAGTTATTTTTGGTTTTAAATTAATTGCTTGAATTAAACCCATATAAAAATAAATTATTAAACGTGATAATAAATGAATTTTTATAAAAATTCAGTCTTCTACTTTTACGTTGGATTTGCGTTGAATTTGCGTTCGTTTTGAGTCGATTTTGATTTTTTATTAAAAGTCGGTAAAACATTAATATATTGGATTTTTTAAAGTTATTTTTGGTTTTAAATTAATTGCTTGAATCAAACACATATAAAAATAAATTATTAAACGTGATAATAAATGAATTTTTATAAAAATTCAGTCTTCAACTTTTGCGTTGGATTTGCGTTGAATTTGCGTTCGTTTTGAGTCGATTTTGATTTTTTATTAAAAGTCGGTAAAACAATAATATATTGGATTTTTTAAAGTTATTTTTGGTTTTAAATTAATTGCTTGAATCAAACACATAAAAATAAATTGTTAAACGTGATAATAAATGAATTTTTATAAAAATTCAGTATTCAACTTTTGCGTTGGATTTGCGTTGAATTTGCGTTCGTTTTGAGTCGATTTTGATTTTTTATTAAACGTCGGTAAAACAATAATGTATATTAGTTTTTTTAAGTTATTTTTGGTTTTAAATTAATTGCTTGAATCATGAACATACAAAAATAAATTATTAAACGTGATAATATATTAATTTTTATAAAAATTCAGTCTTCAACATTTGCGTTGGATTAGCGTTGAATTTGCGTTCGTTTTGAGTCGATTTTGATTTTTTATTAAAAGTCGGTAAAACAATAATATATTAGATTTTTTAAGCTATTTTTGGTTTTAAATTAATTGCTTGAATCAAACCCATACAAAAATAAATTATTAAACGTGATAATAAATGAATTTTTATAAAAATTCAGTCTTAAACTTTTGCGTTGGATTTGCGTTGAATTTGCGTTCGTTTTGAGTCGATTTTGATTTTTTATTAAAAGTTGGTAAAACAATAAAATATTAGATTTTTTAAGTTATTTTTGGTTTTAAATTAATTGCTTGAATCAAACCCATATAAAAATAAATTATTAAACGTGATAATAAATGAATTTTTATAAAAATTCAGTCTTCAACATTTGCGTTGGATTTGCGTTGAATTTGCGTTCGTTTTGAGTCGATTTTGATTTTTTATTAAAAGTCGGTAAAATAATAATATATTAGATTTATTAAGTTATTTTAGGTTTTACATTAATTGCTTGAGTCAAAAACAAATAAAAATAAATTATTAAACGTAATAATAAATGAATTTTTATCAAACATTTGCGTTTAATTTGCGTTGAATTTGCGTTCGTTTTGAGTCGATTTTGATTTTAACATTAATTTCTTAGTTGTAAATAACCATTTAGAAGAAGATATATAATAATTTTTTTATTTTTTGTTTTTCAGATATGCCTTTGGGAGTTCAACGCATGAGAGCTGGCTTCGCAATTTAAATAATTTATTTTTTGTTTACTATTATAGTAATATATGTAGGCAGGGGCGGCTAGTGTATAAGGGCTGCAGAGCTGCAGAACTCCCAAAATTTTCTTATTACTTGACTATTTTTTTAATTATTTAATATTTAAGTGCGACAGTGTACCTATAAATATTTCAAACGCAAGGCTGCATAAAAAGTTTTTATTATAAACATTTGCCGTGTCGCCGTACTTGGCCACTACAGTCATCCAAACGACCGGTAAAGGTCTCTAACGCTTAACGCTTACAATACAACAAAGCTGGGCCACTTTCGAGTTCTGGTTCCCATTTCAATACCGTAATTTTGCCCCGCGCCGCTCTTGGCCCTGGGTTAAGATAGTGAAATTTAAGCCAAATCGGAGCTGCACCAACATACAGTTCCTACTTCCCGGTCGTTTGTTTTTCGCTTCGCGTTCACGTTTGTTATTTTAACTAGAAGACTGTTAATTCTGTGTATTTTTGTGTTTTGTGTTTGTTGTTGTATTCTTTTGTAAGAATGAATGTGGTGTATGATTTAATTATGATTTAATTAATTATCTGTAGGTACCATTTAATTAAATGCCAACTGCGCCACATTTTTTTAAACCCCACTGGCAGAACTCACAAATTTTACTGCCACGAGCCGCCACTGTATGTAGGAGGTATATGTAGTGTATAAGTATTATAATAAATTATTTTTATACTTTAAAATAGAGTTTTCATTAAAATCCCAGCTTAAAAAAAACATGGACTGCGTCCCTGTCACGGTTGAGGGTGGTTATAACCACCGGTTATAACCGTTTTGTAGCAAAGCTTAAGGTAAGTCTATAAAAAAACGTGTTATCAATTAATAATAATAATAATAATAAAACGTCTTTATTTAACGAGGCGAAGTCTAATATAGTTGATGGCAATAAGTTTAATTTGGGTTAAGAAATAAAAAACTTATCACAAATATTTTACGTTAAATGAATCGAAACTTAACGCAAACTTAACTTAAAGTAGACTCAAAGTTAACGGAAAACTGACCCAAATTAAACGCAAACCTATCTCAAAGTTGACGCAAATTCAACGCATTCTTAACTTAAAGTAGACTCAAAGTTAACGGAAAACTGACCAAAATTAAACGCAAAGTTGACGCAAATTCAACGCATACTTAACTTAAAGTAGACTCAAAGTTAACGGAAAACTGACCCAAATTAAACGCAAGCCTATCTCAAAGTTGACGTAAATTCAACGCAAATTCAACGGAAATTTAACTAAAAATAAACTCAAACTTAACACAAAATCCTAAATCGGTACAATACTGCAAATAATTACGTCGAATTTGCGTTAAGAAACGATATTTTAACCCAAAATCAACGTTAATTTTGAGTTAATTATGGGTGATACTTGGGCACTACTTAACGTTAATTTTGCGTTTAGTGAATTCGCCAGGGGATAAGTTTCATATAGGGGTATTTAATGTTCTATTGGATAAATTGGGGGTCGAACTTGAAAAAAGTATTGTGTATAAGGATCTTGGAGATAAATTCAAATTTTTGATAAACTTAGGCATTATTTTATTACTGCTTCTGAAATGTTGACTATGTTTTTTAAAAAAAACCTTATTGATTTATTCCAGAATCTTTATACAATTCTTTAAATTTACCTAACAATACCAATAACAAGCTGCGAAGCAGAACGGTCGTTTTCAAAATAAATATAGATCAACAATGACTGATAAAATAACCTTTCAATTCTGTCAATTGAATACGATATCACGAGATCCATTTCCTATGATGAAGCAATTAGCGAATACGTATCAGTTAAGTGCAGAAGACAATTTTTTTTTATTTGTTATTGTTATATAATTACCTACCTATAAATATAATAAGGTGTTTTAAAAAAATAAGTTAGGTTCTTTTAGAAATTTTGAAAATTAAGCTTCTCGGGGACTACATAGGGCCTCAAAAAATTGGCCAGCCTATAGGCCCCATAGGGCCCCAAAAAAACACGATCTGCCACTGCTGGGGTGGTGTGTTTCTTAAGTGCTCCACAAAGGACATAATCATCACCAGTTGATACTATTATATTGTGGTTTACTATATTCCTTATTTTTATTATTATATTTATTATTATTACCATATTTATTTATTATTTCTATATTTATAACCATCTCTATTTATTGCGCCATGTAATTGGAATAATAAGAATGAAGATTTTGCTGTATAAAATTGAATTGTTTCGACTTTTTATAAAAAACAAGGTAATATTATATTAATATTATTAATATATTATAATATTAGTGATAAACATTAACATTATTACCTATACATTTAATTTGATATTAATATCAAATTAAATTTATAATTATTATTATTACCCCCAGGGGCACACCCTTGTTGGTGTGTACGGGTATAGCGAACCCGGGGTACCCGAGCTAAGCCCGCCTCCGGGCCATTGGGGGATATGGGAGGAAACCCAGAAAAAAAACCGATCATGGAGGAAACTACAGGATCGAAACTTACGGTGCAGGGGTTCGGATCCTCAGTGCCGGCGGCTAAGAGTGACCGAGCAGGCTCGAAGTCGTCGTCATCCCTCGGCTGCAATGATGCGGGGTTCCGCTTGGCCCCAACATCAGATAGTGCTACAAGCAGATCTTCAAAAGATAACCGTATCGCCACGGAGAAGGTGGTCATGTTACCCCGGTTCCTGGTAATAAAAAGAAGTGAAGGAGACTTTCTTAAAGTTAATCCTTTCGTAGTTTCGAAGATTCTTTATGGACTTATTGGAGAAGTAAAGAGCATAAAAAAAATTAAAGATGGGCTTTTAGTTGAAACTGTTTCAAACAAACAATCAGAAAAACTTTTAAGTTTAGTAAGATTTGGCGACTTTGATGTTTCAGTTCAAAGACACAGAACCTTAAATACTTCAAAGGGTCTAATAACCTGCCCGGATTTATTAAATTGTACTGTAGACGAGATTGAGAGAAGTCTACTGGACCAAGGCGTAATCGAGGTTAAAAGAATTCAAAGGAAACGAGACAACGTAACCTTTGATACTGCTAATCACATTCTTACCTTCGACAAACCAACTTTGCCTAAATATGTAAAAGCCGCATTTTATAATTTACCAGTCAGACCATACATACCAAACCCAATGCGGTGCTTTAAGTGTCAGAAATTTGGCCACGTAGCAGATAAATGTATTAATCGAGAAGTTTGTGTTTGTGGCCAAGAACCCCATGCCGATGCACCATGTGCCGATCATATGGTTTGTGTTAACTGTGGGGGAGAGCACTCAGCTCGGTCAAGAAATTGCCCAACCTTTCAAGAAGAGATGGCGATTCAAAAGATCAAAACTCTTGAAAGAATTACTTATATAGAAGCCCGAAAAAAAATCGTGAAGAACAATCTACAAAAATCTTTTTCAGAAGTTACCAAAACTAATATTGATCCTAAACCAAATGTTGTAAATGTCAAAAATATAATTCAAGAAATAATTCCGGAAATAGTTAAAATCTGTAAAACCATTTTAATGGAGGAAAAATCTTTTCCAAAACCATTAGCTCCAGTCTCAAGCTCACAGCCTATTTCTAGGTCAAGAGCTAGTTCAATTGCATCCACGTCATCCAAAAAGCGCTCACACTCGAGCGATGCTCCTGGTGGCGAGTCTGATAACTCCCAAACCAGTGAGACGAGCAAGGGCGAAAAACACGAAAAGAAAAAGAAAGGATGGAAAAAAGGGAGGCCACGAAAACCTCCCAAGGACTTCGAAGTCGCCAGTTTTCCCGGCGACGGAGTCAGTTAACAATCTGTGATATTTTCTGTGATATTTACTAAATATATATATTTTTTTATTTTTTTTTACTTACCTTCTTATCTCTTATCTACCTGTATTTGTTTATTTTCTTAATTGTCTCTCATACATAACATTTTACAATGGAATCCATAATTCAATGGAATTGTAATGGCCTTATAACTAGATACTGTAACTTTAAACTTCTCATAAATAAATACAACCCTTTCTGTGTCTGCATTCAAGAAACTCATCTTAAACCAGGTCAGCCCTATAACCTTAAAAATTATAGCTTTTTAAGATATGACGCGACAGCCAATCTTCGTGCAAACGGCGGCGTCGCTATAGGTATCAGAAAGGATCTAAAAGCAAATAAAATAAACATTAATTCTAACTTACAGGTCGTCGCTGTAAAAATCGATTATCCATTGTCCATGTGTATTTGTAATATTTACTTACCCCATGCTGATTGGACAATCGAAGAGATCGAAAATCTAGTTATTCAACTGCCGCGTCCCTTTCTTCTTGTGGGAGATTTTAACGCCCACAATCCTTTATGGGGCTCAGAGAGATCAGACACCCGAGGTAACCTGATTAACAATTTTATATTGGAAAATCCTGAAATGTGCTTATTGAACAATGGTTCACCAACTTACTTTAACTCACGATCCCTTAGCTTTTCCTGTATAGATCTTTCATTTTCCTCCACTTCAATCATGTATCGTCTGGGTTGGGAGGTTATGGAAGATCTGTATGATAGCGATCATTTTCCTATCAGAATTAAAGTAAATGTTGGACAAACTCGTCAATACTTACCCGAAAGGTGGAAACTGGACCAAGCTGATTGGGACACTTTTAGGTCCAACCTAGTAACTCCAGCTTTAATGCAGGAAGAAGGTGTGGATAACGATATTGCTGTACTTACGGACCATCTTATACAGGCGGCAAATCAGGGTGTTCCAAAGTCTGCTGGTCATGTCATGGCAAGCAAGCAGGTGCCTTGGTGGAATGATGAAGTGCGAGATTCTGTAAGAGAAAAAAAGAGAGCGTTTAACATTTTTAAGAGGTATAAAACTGTAGAAAACCTAATTCATTTTAAAATTGCAAGGGCTAAAGCAAGGCGCACTATTCTAAACGCTAAGCGGTCTTCATGGAGAAGATACGTCTCAGACATCAATCCTTCCACACCGATGTCACTGGTATGGAAGAAAATTCAAAAGATCTCCGGCTGTAAACAAGCGTCACAGATAACTTGCATTAAAGAGGGAAACAATATAATCACTAATAAAAACGAAGTTGCTGAGAAGCTAGCCGATTACTTCCAGAATGTAAGTAACTCCCAAAATTATGACTTAACGTTTCTAGAGAGAAAAACAGAGCGAGAAGTCGAACTTAGCTTTGATTCCGAAGAAAGCAAACCATATAATGGTCCCTTTAAAATGTTTGAATTGGAAAACGCTCTCAAACAATCAAAGAAAACCAGCCCGGGTCTCGACAATATTCCCTACGACTTTTGCCGGGAAGCCCACGATAACTTTAGGAAGTATTTATTAAATGTTTTTAATAAAATTTGGATGAGGGGTAATTATCCCACTCAATGGAGGGAAGCGCTTGTTATCCCCATTCCTAAAGAAGGAAAAAGCCCCACGAACCCTGCATCGTACCGTCCAATAAGCCTGACGTCATGCCTAAGCAAAATTCTCGAAAGTATGATTAATAAAAGACTTGTCTGGAGTCTGGAGAGTAATGACCGGATTTCCAAGTGCCAGTCTGGCTTTCGAGTCGGTAGATCGACACTGGATAATTTGGTCTATCTTGAACAGACAATCCAGGCAGCATTGAGTAGACGACACCATGTAACTGCAGCATTTTTCGATATCGAGAAAGCTTATGACATGACGTGGAGGTATGGGATTTTAGAGACGTTGCATCGTTGGGGCTACCGCGGCAATCTGCCGTTGTTTGTCAAATCTTTTTTGCAAGATCGCGTATTCCGTGTTCGTCTAGGTAATTGTTTTTCTAGTCTTCGCCCTTTGGAAAATGGGGTCCCCCAAGGCTCTACCTTGAGTGTAACCCTCTTTGCCATTGCAATTAACTCGATCTGTGATACTCTCTGTGATAATGTATGCCGTACTATCTATGTTGATGACATTGCTATTTTTTTGTCAGGACCCATTAGGTCCAATATAAATGGGAAAATGCAAGAGGCAATTAACCAAGTGGTTAGAGCTGGAGAGAGTAGAGGTTTTAAATTCTCTCTCTCCAAATCTAAAGTAATACATTTTTGCCATCTACGAACGCCACACTACCGTCCTCTTCTTTTTATTAAGGAAAGGCCTCTTGAATGCGTTCCCCAGCTAAGATACTTGGGTCTTGTGTGGGATGAACGTATGTCATGGAAGCCGCATGTTGATTCCTTAAAATTTAATGCGAACAAGGCACTTAATGTCCTCAAATGTCTTAATGGATCAAGGTGGGGAGCACATAGGGATAACTTGACTATTCTTTACAATGCCCTAGTTCAGTCCAAGCTGGACTATGGCTCCATAGTTTTTGGATCTGCCCCTAAATCTACTCTTCGGCCCCTAGATGTTATTCACAACACTGGGGTCCGATTAATACTCGGAGCATTCCACACCACGCCTACGTGCAGTTTGCATGTAGAAGCGGGTATTATGGAACTGGATAGGAGAAGAATTCTGCTAGCTCTTAACTATATTTCTAAAGTGCGAAAATGGGGTTCAAGTAATATAACTAGGCCCCTTGTTATAAACAACGTAGCAGTAAGGCAGAGAAGAGTTCACCTTCTTAAAAAGGCAATAATGAAATCAGAGGAGCTGTCTATAAATTTACCAATTGAAGATAGGTCTTATATCTCAGACCATCCACCTTGGACACCAGAGTACCTGGAACACTCACGTTCCCTAAAAAGTGAAAAGACCCAAATATCTAAAGATATAAAAAAATCAATTTTGGCCAGTTGGGCAGAAGAATGGTCTGAAAGGGACACCTTCTTAGGTCAATTTGTTGATTCTGTAGAGGGAGTTAGGATCGCTAATTTGGAAAGAAGGGAGCAAATCGTTATTACCAGGCTAAGGCTGGGGCATACTAAGATTACCAAGTCCTATCTTTTAGAGGGTGGAGACTTACCTGAGTGTGAAGGCTGCGGAGAAACTCTGTCAGTCAAGCATATTCTCGCAGAATGTCCCATCCTGCACGAGAAACGGATTCTCCATGGTATAGCCAACCTGGAATTAAATGAATTCCTAGATTATAGTTCTGAAAATACAATAAAAGTTCTTACCTACCTGAACGATACAAATTATCTGCACAAAATCTAATTAGAATGGCTTTTTTTTTTTATACATTATTTGTTATGTCCGTATATACACCAAAATATCTATTATGTTTATCTTAATACAATTCACTAGTCTGAGAGGTTTTTAGCCGGTAGGAGTCCGGCACTACCCAGGGCCCTGTTTATCTATGGGTGTCCATGAGGATTTTCCTCTCAGGAAATTGCCAATGACCTTAGCAGTCGACGCAAAAAAAAAAAAAAAAAAAAAAAAAAAAAAAAAAAAAAAAATTATTATTATTATAATAATAAGTTAATAGGACTTAAGAATCAGCATTACCTTGAAAATAAAACTCTCTATAACCTATAACTTTGAAAAAAGAACCCTCCAAGTTAGAGGCTCTAACCTATAAACTTGTGAACTAAAACCCTCTTACCTATAATAGAACCCTCTAACCTTCGTTAAACTTGTTAATTTAAACCCCCCAAAGTTTAAAAAGCGAAGTGAAACTTATAATCTCAAAACGAACATTCATAAAACTTATTGTAAAAACTATATGATTCAAATACAACAAATATAAAGCTGACAACCATTCTTTGTGTGTTTTATTACTTAATATAATTTCCTCTCGCTGGCATCCTTCCTATTTAGAAGTGAATTCGAATAACACAACGTAGGTACCTTTTTCCGAATAGACTAGACGATCACACCATTTTGGCCACATTTGACAAGATTGCAAACTTGTTGAGGTTATGAGATTATTAAAATCTCTCTGGGTTACTTTTTACTCGAGTGTATTTATGTGCAAATATTAAAAATTCATAATTATATAGGCCAGTAGGTACTAACTAAAATACAAGAGTCAGTATAATTTAAATTATTTTTTTTGTAAAAACGTAAGGTGATATTGATAATCCAATACCTCATAAGAGATAATTTGCAAAATATATCATTTTTTAAGTATCATTATTGAAATATTTTGGAATAGGCAGCACTATTGAGCTTTTGACCAAGTTGTGGTAGGTATATGTATTCTTAAGAAGAAAAAATATTCGATTATGTATTGTCAAAATCTCTCATTTATTTCGGCATTATATATTTTTATCTACCTTTTGGTAGTAGTTAATATTTTTTAATTCTAGAAATCTAATTTTAAATTTGCTTGCTGTAAGTAGAGGTCGCCTGTTATATTCAGCGTGGAAATGTATTGATGTTATTTTCTGTCATGCGCTTTTCTTTATATAGTCCATAACAAAATTAAACCTTAGTTAAATCACTATCAATTACTACAAGTAATTTAAATAATGTAAACAATTCATTATTTTAACTTACACTTATTAACCTTAAACTTTTTAAATAAAATAACTTTTTATATACTTAACCATTTTTAAATTAACTGAAAGTATATTTTTTTTATCATAAAAGAAAAAACAATATATTTGGGCCCTATTAGCAATACATTTTCAGTACTAAATAATAATTTTAATGCTTTAACACCTATCAGTTTATAACACTTAGACAACCATGGTTGTTATGCATAAATATTGAGCACTTGAAAATAGGATCGTATATCGTATACCTACACAGGCTTTTATTTATTTTCTTTGGCATTATTTTTTAGGGTTTTTTTTAATTTGCAAATAAAAATAAAATAATATATTTAAATATTTTAAATTAGGTTCACAATATTTCATAATTTCTCTTAAAAGTATAATG